ATCTATCTATCTATCTATCTATCTATCTATCTATCTATCTATCTATCTATCTATCTATCTACCTATCTATCTATCAAGCCGCCTACGACATTTATCTCTCCTGACCGTTTCGATATTGGTATCGATACGAAAGTTGGTATGGCATAACATGACTAGATTACGATAATAATTGACTAGTCATAACATAAAAAATGACATACGTCATGAATGTCATTTGCTGCTCTTACGGTCGTTTCGTTCTCATGAGATGTTGCAAAACTGGTACGATAGGACATGACTGCGTGGCGAATGCAAGCGACAGCCCCTAACATTAAAATCATGACATGCGTGTAATCATTTTACTGCTGCAAACATGATCCTCATGAAATGCGTGTCATGCAACAAGACGACTACATACCCCGCTCTTGATGCATTCATGGCCATTTCACTTGCTTCACCTATACCAAATTTGGTATCATCGGACGTCAATGGATGACGAAGCTACGTGTTTAGTGCAATCATGATAATCATGAGATGGGTGTCATGTAAGAACATGATTACATTCCACGCTGTCCAATACACTTCGATGTGACCCAGCGCAGGTGCGCGCCAGCGTTTGTTTTGTCACGTCACGCCGGCGATGCCTCGCCAGGCTCCGATCTGCCTGCTTCAGGCGCGCGCCGCGCTGCGTTCCTTTGACGCATGCGCGTTTGAGTGTGCCTGGCATCCCTCCGTCACGAAGAGAGGCAGACGCGGTGCTGTTACACTTCTAGAACACTGTAGTGCTGTCGTATTTCGTACCAACGGAAGCTGGTCGTGCAGGTCGTGCCTGGCGTCAGACAGTGCTCACGTTTTGCTAGCGTAGCGTTGCTGCGCCCAGCGTGCGCGCGCGTGAACGTTACGTCGGAATGTATTGGGCCTTTCATGATGCCCTCACCGCCGCTTCGCTAGCTTGACAAATAAGAAATTCGGTATTATGGACGGAATGGATGAGGAAGGTGTGTGACCTGTGCGAACACTATAATCATGGCATGCGTGTCATGTAACAACATGACTACATGCCACACTCATGATGTGCTGTTGTCCGTTTCGCTAGCTCCACATGTACCAAATTTAGTAGTGTATGACACGAACTGACGACAAAGGTAAATGGCACATTCAATGATGATAATCATGACACGCATGTCATGTACAACATGACTACATGCTACGTTCATAGTGCACTCGAGCTTGTTTCGATAGCTTCACATATACCGTTCTTGGTGTTACATGACGTCAACGGATGATGAAGGTATATGGCTGGTGCAAAGATGACACGCGTTTCACGTAAGAATATGAAATCATACCCTAGTCATGATGGACTCACGGCCGTTTCACTAGTTCCGCGTACACCAAAGTTGGTGTCCCGTGATGTGAATAGATAAGGAAGGTGAATGACATGTCTAAACATAATAATCATGACATGGAAGTGATGTACAGCATAATTTACTTCAAACTCATAATGGTGTGCTAATTTTCAAGTGAGATATCAACCTTCCTGCTTCGTGCTTCGGATATCATCGATTTCCATTGTACGTGGCATCTGCCAATTTTTTTCGAAGAATTTAATTATAAACCTTGAAAATGGTAACCATAAAAACTATTTCTCATTTATTTTAGGCATTCAGATGCATGTATAGTGACGTAATTTAGGTAGCAGCGTGGACCAGAAACCGAAGAGTCGTGTCGCACTGCTCGTGAGAAGCACGCGAATATGTTGATACCAATTACAGAAAGTTTATCGAATAAAATCAACGAACTGTTGCTAAATATTGAACTACACAAGTGCAGGGACGTAAACGGCATATCTTTACTTAAACTAGCAAAGGTTTTGTGCAGTTCGTTGTGAAAATCAGCCAGCACTGGACAGCTTCTTTGCTCCGGACATCTGCGCTAAGGCTATGCGTAGTACGCAACTTCTTTGCACATGAACGCTGCTACATGCATATTGTTCACTGCAGTACATGCTCAAAATTTCCTAACGTGCCATATATTTTATGTAAACATCGATTGATACATTCGCAATAAAATTAATTATTGCTACCAGCTAGTTTGATAAGGGTTGTAATTTCGCTCAGCCTGTATGCGGCATCACAACTTACTAAAGTAAGTATGCAAATATACTTATGAGCTTGTAGTAAGTAGTTTACTGCAATTTACAATATGGAAACGAGAAAAATTGAGAAAGTGGGCTGCTGCAACGTGCGGGGCAGCCACGACGTAGAAGCAGATGACGATGGTGTCGGCTGCTATGCGGAATGCCAGCGGCCATATAAAACTATAAAACGCGGTTGTGATTTTGAAAAATACTTCATTTTATGCACAGCAATAATTTATACAAGAATATTGTTAAATGTGAATTCCTCGAAAAAAGTATTTCAGAGTGAAATGTAATAAACACTTTTCTATTGAAAGTAAAATAGTAATAATTTTTGCAATTCCTCACAGAATCAAGATGGCGCCATCAATGCGTCCAATTTTCTTCCGCATTGGCTCTATGGGTATATCCCTCACTTGGCGTCTGTCTGTCTGTCTGTCTGTCTGTCTGTCTGTCTGTCTGTCTGTCTGTCTGTCTGTCTGTCTGTCTGTCTGTCTGTCTGTCTGTCTGTCTGTCTGTCTGTCTGTCTGTCTGTCTGTCTGTCTGTCTGTCCATGTGTACGCCCATCCATCCTTTTGCGCGCACACATATTGGACCAATGCCATCTAGTAAATGAGACGAAAAATCGTGATGAGACAGCGCCATCTATAACACTGTTTGGTAGATACTACCGGTTACGCTTCACGCAGGACAAGGTTACGCTAAGAGGAGCTTCGCTACTGAACAATTGGCGCCCGCAGAGATTGATCGATTGATTGATTGAATAAAGCTTTATTTCGGTGCTGAGAAGTGCAGGGAAGACCTCGTGGCACCCGGCTAATCGCACGTAGGAACCGCCATGCCGAGCTTCGTGGCCCGTTCACGATTACTCTGGGCAGCCAGGGCTTGATCGTTAAGTTGGGGGCTACGTAAGAGCAAGGCCCATCTGTCCTCGCAGAAGACGAAGCCGATGGCTCCACATTCTCAGAACACATGGTTCTGGGAAAGTGAAAGAATCCGGTGTTGTCCGCGCGCCGGCAGATGTTCTCTCTTTACTCTCACTCCTTCTCCCGTAGAAACAGCTGCGGGTGCGCGTGGTTATCCTCGCCTCTAGCTACCGGAGCTTCTGGCGCAGTGCTTCGCCGCTCCTTCTCTCGCTGTTCGCTCTCTCTGCTCCCTGCGCACCACTCTCCCGTCCACTCGCACCTCAATCTCAACCGTTCGCTGTCTGGGCGCCTATCTAGAACACCCGGAATTGTATGCTCGAGATGCCACCCTGAAACGCCAACGCAGAGCCAAAAACGCTGGCCCTCCACTCTCCTTTCCGCTTGCCCCTCACTCTCGACTGCTCACTGGCTGGGTGCCCCTCTAGGCGATGGCAGAAGTCGATGAAGGCGAATATCTGACGGCAATTGTACGGTTTCTTGGCGAAAGAATTGCATTCGCAATTCCTCACAATTGCCATTGGGGAGGTAGGGGGATTTTTTCAACGCCTTTGTCATGCGAAGAATCTAATGTCAGTTATAACAAATGAGATAGGTGAACCGACTGTCATTTTACCTGCCTACTGTTAAATGATGAAAATAAATGCAATATTAAATTAATGGCCATGACCTTAGTCCACCTGAACCATACGTTCGGGAGAAGTATAAATCTTTTACGCCTTTCATAAAACATGCATTTATTGTCGACAACAATTTTTTATTACTAGTGGCTGCTGCAACATTATAAACACTGCCATTTTTACATAACTTTCCACAAATGAACGACAGAAACGAAGGCATTCGAAGATTCAATCGAAAACCAACATGCCCGATGATATGTTGGGCCGTGGTCCGTGGCGTAGTTTATGGACGGCGTGCATTGGTACAGTCAAATGAAGTGGCGGAGCACTAGCACTCGAGCTGCAGAAGTGAGATAGTGGCAGCTAATTTTTGTACTCACCACATTGATCACCCAAGCACGAGCAATGAGGTTATTAACACTGCAATAGAGGCAACAATGACAACAGAGCACAAATAAACCTCACCGGCGTGTAGCTGCTGTGAATGAGTATTTTTCTTGCTGACAACTGCGGAACTAGTCGTTGTGCGCACTACACTTCGTTTGGTGTATCGGGAACTACCTCAACAGTGGTAGATCTTCACTGACTCCAAGGTAACTCTAAAATCGGTTTTATAGTTGTCAAACACCAATACATATTGCGAAAGCTCTGATAGATAAGTTTGTTACATGTGATTTTTGAGCATTATCCGTCATTTTTCGAGGAAAGAGAAAGCAATTTTTAGCTTACCTAAATCATTTATTGTGAATTCCAAGCCGCGTGCTGCGCTATAAAATTTGGCTCGCATGTTCTCGGGAGCCTCTATTACCAATCGGCCGCGGTTTCTAACCGTGCTCAAAAAGTGTTGCAGGGCCCCTTTATGTCACGGCTCGTGAGTGTGCCAGTGTTGTAAGTACCCTTGAGCCTCTTGTATGTTTATATCTTTCAAACATTAGGTTCTCAACCGAATGCACTGAAATTTCGCCAGCTTGTTTGTGAAAGCCAGGGAACAAGGATTGACACCCATTACACTGTATATTAGCGAAAAATGGGTGTCACGGCCCCTTTAATGAATTACCTAAGCGATCAACAACAATAGTAATGGCGATCTCACTTTATATAGCGATGCTTTTACAAATACAATGGATTTCATACGCTTTTGTTTTCAGTGGCCATATTGAGGAAAATAAATATTCTAACAATTTTTCTTGCAACAGAAGCCATGCACCAGCAGTAAAGTAGGATGGAAAAAGTCCCCGCTGCTATCAATGCTCAGTGTACCTAGATTAAGTTACTTTAAAAGAAGTCCCTACCAGCGTTGCAGCTTCCATTGATATCGCTGACGAAAACAGTGCCCCTATATAAATGGCAACACAATCTCTTATGTTCGTTTTATTTTTAACTTTCAGCACTCACAACATTGTCCCTAATCTGTAGATGTTTTTTTTCAGAGTCTTTGTCTAAAAGATCCCGGACGTTTTCGTTGTAGATTTCAATGTAGGAGATTCGTACCAAGCACTCCCATTCAGGCATCTGCAACAGAAAGTGCGCATTCTGGTTACCAAACACTTTGAACGATAGCGTCATTGTAGTAGTATTTTCAAGACAATTTGTTCTATCAGAGCCATGGCAGTGTAATTTCTGTGCAGATGAGCTGAATACGTGAAGTCTGCTAGCTAAACATCCTAACATCACAAATGACATACAGAACAGCGTCAGGCACTGGCTGCACACTAAGCACACTTATACAAAATATCAGCACCACTAATCATGTTCTACTCGATTCATGCAACCTCCTTCACCCATCTCTCTACGACGCTCTGGTCCTTGCTTGGTGAAACAACGTGCATTTGGGCTACTCAATTTTACCGAAATGTTCATGCAAATTCAATGATGATTATAGAATGAGTGGGAGACCGCCAGGCGGCGCCGTTTTGTTTGGCTGGCCGCATACAGTGCTCCACTTTCACGTGTTTTTGGCCCGTTACCGGGCCCCGCCCGTGTCTGGACAAGCTCACTATTCCTTCTAGAAGACTTCCGGGACACGCCGACACCATCCGGGCCCCGGTGTGACCCCAGGCTGGCGCCCCAGGCCCCTTCAAAAGTACGAAGCGGCGCGGCGCCGCGCTAACCCTAACGCGCCACGCCTGCACCTCCACGATGCAGAGTCCCGCCCAGCACTCGACACCAACGACAACTGACGCCCTGTCAGTAAGCCCAGCCTCCTCCGGTCGTACCGCTGATACAGCCGTGCCTCCGCTGTCAACATCTGGCAATGTCACCAGCCCCGCGCCGACAACAATACAGCAACAGGCAGCGTTCCTCAACAGCGCGCACGGTCCAGCAACGTGCAACGCTGGTTGCGTCTCTGCTACTCTCAGCTTGATAGCCACGCAAACGCCGGAGCCCGAGAGCCGTAATGCAGCGTTGGCGTTGCAATCAACCACGCCTGCTGCTCTCCCCGCCTTATCTGCGTCTGGCCTACCCATTGGAAATTCCGAGTCTGTCGACAAGCGCGTTTCGACGAGCGTCGTTCCTTCCATCGCCGAAGTTTTGCCTTCCATCACTTCAGCTGACGACTTATCGACGGAAATGGACTTCACGACATCGCAGGTCAACGAACACAATACGCCATCCCCTGGAGGCAGCTGGAACACCGTTAGTGCCAATCGAAAACCTGCCTCGACCACCCACCCCCGTTCCGAGCTCATCACCGTCGGAGTCCAACTTCCACATGGAACACTCACGCCGAAACTGCCTTTCTATGACCTCCTTTCTACCATCATAGCCGCCGCATATCTCTCTCCCAAGACCAGTGCGGAGGTCACCCTTCAAGCCAAACCTGCTCAGAGCCTTGTGTTTCTGAAAACGCACTCACCTCTCACTGCCCACCTCCTACTCTCTCTCACAAGTCTGGAACTTAATGGTAAGCCGATCACCATTAAGCCCTATGCCCCCAGTCCTACAATATCATGTCTCGGCGTCATACACAACGTCGGTGGTCACTTCACAACATCTCAGCTCTTGCATGACCTCGAATCCTTTACTTCAGATATACCCGCTGCACGTATGATGGGCTCCACCGAATCCGTCCTCATAACATTTGCTGGAACCATTATCCCTCGCTTTCTGTACTTCAAACGCGTGTCTTTCCGATGCCGTCCACATAAACCCAAGCCCCCTACTTGCACTCGGTGCCTTGCTATTGGGCACCGTGCTCATCAATGCCCCCCACACAGCGTTCCGGCCAAGTGCCGCCGCTGTGCGTCTCCTCTACCAGCAGATCCCGATGCTCACGTTTGCGCCCAACCCTGGTGCATCCATTGCCAAGTCAACACCCACTCATCTCTCGACTCCACCTGCCCCTACCATCTAGCTAAGCGATGCGACTGTGCCAAAGCAGCGTTTCTCCGTCGCACAGCCATGCGCCGAGCCACTCAGCCTTCACCGCCCTCCTCTTCAGCGCATGAGTTCCTATCACCTCCCGCAACATCCCCCCCGGGCCCATACGCCGCTAAGGTTAAGGAAACACCTCCCATGTGCACTTTTTCATCAAACACACCTTCACCATCTTTAAGTAACGAGAGCCGCTCCTTCGATCTGCGACTGGCTATGTTGGAGCGCAACCAGCGCGAGCAACAACGCGTCTCAGATGAGCTACAACAGAAAATACTCGCACTGACGCAGACACTCGCAACTACCACATCCTCTCTTACCTCTCAACTCACGGAGCTAAATAAGCAACTCACCACACTCACCGCCCCGACCTCCAGCTCCCATGTAACCAAATTGGCCGACATGGTCGAAACCACCACCACTGAGCATCACACTCGTTTGGTCCAGCTGGAAAATTCAATTGTCCGGATTCTTACAACCCTCGAAACTCAATCTAAGCAACTGGAATCTTTCACCTATATGCTTAACTTCCTGCAAGAGTCGCTTCCCCCGGCAAAAAAGAAGGAACGCGCACGCGTAGGCGCTTCCTCTACTTCAAAGACCTAGATGGCGCGTGAAAAAGACCTCGATATTTTGCAGTGGAACTGCCGCAACTTTCGTCATAATAGGACCCCTCTCCACCAATATCTTCTCACCCGCCAAACATTACCCCATTTTCTCCTTATACAGGAGACTTGGGTGGCCCTTGCCGTCCCGGGCTACCGTGCATTTCACGCTACGACGGGAAAGCCACTTGCGTCCATTTATGTACGCAATGACGTTCTCGTTGAACCACTAGACGTACCCTCCCCCCTCCTGAAACATTTAGTTGGTGTGGTCTATTACCAACCATCTGCCCGTATTTCTCTCGCTCTGATGTCATTTTACTACCCCCCTGTCACGTCCTCTTTGTTTAGTGCTCTTGGCAAATTCCTGCACTCCCTTCCATCGACCACCCATATCCTCCTTGGGGGTGACTTTAATGCTCCTCATAGGCTCTGGGGCTACCCCCAAACACTCAAACCAGGTCGCCTTCTACACTGCCTCGCACAGGAACGCCATCTTACCCTTCCTAATACTCCTGACACCCCTACTCGAGCGGGCACTGTTTCACAGCGTTCCACTACACCCGATCTCACGTTCTCTCGGAGTTCCCTTCCTTTTCACTGGCAGGTGTCCGCTGAAAATTTTTTCTGTGATAACTTTCTCATACACATCACCACCCCTCTTTCCCACAATAGGCGGAAACAACGAGTCGCTCACACTGACTGGGAAGCATTCCGTAATAACCTTTTGTCTGACTCATTTAAAACTTACGACGACTGGACGTCGCGGATCTCCACAGCAATGACATTTTGTAGTCGCCGCGCTCGTTTTCAACTCCCCATTCCTGACCCTGATCTTCACTTCCTACTCTTCCTGACGTCGTATGGCGACGTCATCAACGTTTGAAACGCGCTCTCCGCTCCCAGCCACACAACATCCAACTTTCCTTCCGAATTGATGCTCTGCGGGCTGAAATTATCACTTACGGCACTTCTCTCGAGCACTTTCGTTGGAACACGCTGTGTGACGGCCTTGACTCCGCACCGCACTCGCGCTCTACATGGTCTCTGTTTAGGTCTCTCTTAGGTACCAAGCCTGCCGTTGCTCCCACCCTAGCTAAAGCTTTCGCTCAAGGGACTCCATCTGATGTGTTTGAAAATTTAAAATCTCTGTATCTCCCACCCCCCCCCTCACACCTTCCTACCGAGATTACTGTGGCGAAGCTAACCCAGACCTGAACCACCCATTCACGCTCAGGGAGCTGGAAGCTGCCTTAGCCACTCAATCTACCCGCTCGGCACCCGGTGAGGATGAGATAACATATACTACATTACGTAATCTCCCCGACAACGCGAAGGAATTTCTCTTACACACATTCAACGAAGCATGGAACAGCGGCTGTCTTCCAAGCTCTTGGACATCATCACTAATTTGCATAATTCCGAAGCCGGGCAAACCTCCATCTCTCTCTAACCTTCGCCCTATCTCTTCGACGTCATGCGTTGGCAAGACTCTTGAGCGAATGGCCTTGACTCGATTGTCTGATTCTATTGAGGTGAAAGAGTTTTTCCCTCCTTCTCTTATTGGCTTTCGACACCACGTTTGTGCGCAGGACATGTTCCTTGTTCTTCAGCATACTTTTCTTTCACCTTCTCGTAGTCAGATCCATGCGCTTGTAACCGTCGATGTACGGAAGGCATTCGATGGCGTGAGTCATGACCACATACTCGCTCAGCTCTCCTCCCTGTCATGCGGCTCCCGCATTAATTCATACATCCGATCATTTCTTTCCAATCGAGTTGCTCACTTTAGAGTCGATACTCATTTGTCTAACCCGCACTCCCTCACCCGCGGCACTTCTCAAGGTGCCGTACTATCTCCTACTCTATTTATTATGGCTATGGCCCCCCTTGCCTCCCAACTGTCCCAAATACCTGACCTCCACCATATTTTTATGCAGAGGACATCACTCACTGGTGTACGTCTGGATGTCCCAGCCACGTGCAGGATACTTTGCAACGTGGCCTGGACCTTATCGCTTCCTTTCTCGCTACTGCTGGCCTGTCCCCTGCACCGGAGAAATGTGAACTACTTTTACTAAACCGGTCTCCATACCAGCGCTCCCATAATACCCTCATCTCCCTACATCTTTCTAGCTCTCTCATCCCCACTGTTCAGCAATGCAAAGTTCTTGGCTTCCCTATGCACGCGACAAAGAACGCGCCGGCCCTACATCACGCTGTGAGGACTTGCCACTCAGTGACCCACCTTCTGCGACGCGTTGTCACTCGGCAGTCGGGGCTCCACGAGGCTTATGCGTGCCGGGTTGCACATGCGCTTGCCCTTAACAAGTTCTTGTACTTCGTACTCTACGTTCATTTCACTTAAACGCAACTCAACACACTGGAAAGAACTCTATTAGGCCTCTTCAAGGCAGCTCTAAACCTCCCTCTCACTACCTCTACCACTAAACTCTTTACCACAGGCCTCTTTCATTCATTACGTTCTCTTATTTCTCTGCACCACGACTCCCAGATTGCCCGTCTTTCTCTCACTAGTCAAGGCCAATGGCTACTAGCCCAAGCCGGTATTCCTCACATTCCCGTTTCCGTTCCCACCTTGCTTTCTGCCGCTAGCACCGCTGCTTCTTATCTTCGCATCCTTCTCCTCCCATCCAATATGTCTCCCGTTCTTCACGCCGGCCGGCGTCATGCGGCAGCACAGCATCATTCTCCTCCTCTCTCTACACAGGGAGTTGCCTACACGGATGCCTCATACATGGCTCCTCGGGGCTCGTGTGGCTACGTTATCTACCATCCACACCTTTCGGCACCTGACACGCACACCAGCGGGCCATACTTACACCCACCAAATGTACTTTCGCTCGAGGTCCTTTCCATGGTCCATGCCATGCAGTCATTTTCCTCCCTCCCTTCTCTCCCCGAGTACACGATTTACTCCGACTCTCACGCTGCCATTCGTCACATACAGAACAACACGTTGCCCCCTGCTCTTCAACAGGAGGTCGAGCGAGCGGCATCTGCTCTTCAACCCTCCACTGTCTTCCTCTGCTGGGTTCCTGGGCATTCGGGTATTAACGGCAATGAGCTAGCTCGTCAGCTTGCCCGCGATATATTGCACCGGGCACCGTTCATTCCCTGGCCCACACCTTCGGAAGACAGTGAGAGCTCCGCGAATAACGATGCGCAGATCTCCTTGCGTTACACTATCAAGGAGGTATATCTCCAGCTCCGGCTCGACAAGCGTCTTTACCCTCCCCCTCATCCATCACTCACTGCGCTCGAGGCTCGAACTCTACGGCACATCCAAATAAACTGCTTGATAACCCCCTCTCGCCTTTTCCTTTATAAATATAGGTCTAACACCTGTTGTCCTAATTGTCCCTCCCCATACGCTGACCTGTCACACTGCCTGTTTTACTGCCCAACTGCTCAGCAATCCAGCTATTACCCTCCCCCATCCCTTTCCATCCCCTCCTGGCTCGACCAGATCAGCGCCGAAGGGGAAGAAGAACAGCGTTGACTGATCGCACAGGCGGTCGAAATGCTCGGCCTGTAAACTTGGCTGAATAAAAGTCTATTACTACTGCCACTAGAATGATTCAAAACAAGCATGTGTATTAGAAGATTGACAAGGGTAACAAGAAGAACCGGCTTGACAGTGCAGACATACCGTTATTCATTGCCAAAAGTATTAACTTGGTAAATAGAAAAGAAATAACTGTCAAAGTATGAAGTAATAACGGTTAAATAAAAACAAAAATTTATTGCGCCATTTATTAGTGAAATATTTCAAAAATGAAAGCAGTGAGAAGCCTATATTCACTGAACGCTGGGTTTGTTAGGCCAGAGGGCCGGTAACGGGTGTCGTATAATAGCATTTTATCATCAGCGTTTAAAGAGCACATTTTCAGTCAACGCGTGTCCCTAATATAGTTATGTCGCTACATGCCCGTCCCCAGCAAGATGTTTCGGAGCCCCTCATTTTTGAAGTCATGCGAAAAAATCTCATACTAGCTCATGCTCTCATAATGGCAGGCGAATGATTTTCGCGACAGCCCTGCGCATATTCCTCACGCAAAATTTTGCATGGAGGCTGTTTTATATCAATGCTATCTGAAATTGGGCCTTTGGCGCAGTCTCAAAGTTTCGCTGCGAACTCGAGATCCAGCGTCGATCGAATGGCCAAGCAAGAAGGGCTCATTTTAAGAGACTCACTTTTTGGATGATGTCGAAGATAGCATCAATTCTTAAGAAAATAAGGCCAGCTGCTCGATACTTCCCATCATGGTTTGAAACTTCCCAGACGCCATTTGACCAAACGCAAAGATGGTCCCTGAAAAAGCAATGAGAAAATGTGGGTTCTAACACATTCATGCAGATGTAGAAACGCATCTGCTGGTGCATCAAAAACTTCCCAATTTTCCAGAGATATGGCATTTGGGGCATACAGAGACCGTATAAAAAATATCAAGAGCAAATTTTTTGCCGACGTGATTTTGCGTGACAGCGCGCTCGCGCTAAACTTAAAACGAAACTTCAAGGACGCGCCAAGCACCAGCCGCCTGCAAGCATTCATACAGGTTAGGTAGCGTTATAACAGGGTTAAGCTAGCCATAATTTGTGCAGCCTATCAAAAAGAGATCATCATAATAACAGGTATGTGCATAGAAATTGAGTAAATCCTACTGCTCAACACACTGGTTCACTAAAAATGAGGAAGGCAACAGTTAGCCCAACCATTCCCTTTTGGCTATATGGGACCAGCCATGAGAAACATCACGATAACTTTTAACACTCTTACAGTCCCCACTTCGCACCAGAAGACTACGTAATAGATATTTCCAAAACTAAAATCATCATTTAAAGGACGCTACCGCGGGAGACAAGGTGCTGTCACGGCAGCCCGAACGCATACGCTTTAAGGAGTACAGACACGAAACAAATATTTTCGACTTGTTTCTCTACATGAAAACATTGTGGATAAGAATTCTCAATACAGTGTTGGGAGTTGAGAACGCATTGCACATATTTTTAACACTGCCGCCGTAAAGGGGAACTCCAGGGCGTTTTCAACCACACATAGGTAATGATGTTTTCAAAGACCGTAGTATTGAAAGTCGTGGATCAGCTGGGGTGGTTATTTTTGTCCAGGCACTCGTCAATCATTTTATTTAAGCTATGAACAATGAGTCAAAACAGAAACCCAAACGGGGAGCTCCTCCGTCCTCTATGGTGGATATTGGATGACATCACGAAATTCACTATACCCTCTCACAGCTGGCCATGGTGTAAACATAGCTAACGTACCTTTTCCAATGCCCGAAAGGCAAGTTTGCAATGTCAGCCGATGCGGAATCAGTCTGTGCCAGCTCATCTGAACAACCAGTGACAAGTTCAGCGATAGTTGCAGCTAATATACGAACGGGTAAGCATCTTACGTAAATATTGTAAAACTCTACGTAACGGACGACTAACACTGTATGCCGCTGACAAAACTAAACTGTGCTCGTGTCGTCGTCGCCTCGTAGAAAATAGCACGCACTGCATCAGTCTGCTGGAAAAGGCGGGGTTTCGAAAAAGGGTAGGCACTTACGTCACACACAAAGAGCGACCCGCGTTTACAAGTGCAAGTCCAGAAGATCCGACTAACCTTAAAGTTTGTTTTCTAAAAAAACTGAATGACTTACGGTTATATAATTTGGTCCATTGCCACGGTACCGACAAAAACACATGCTCGCAATTTTGTTGCAATCACTGAATATATAAAAAAAACACCGGAGTTCCCCTCAAGCCAATTGCGGTATCAAAAAGGTAGCTTGCAGTAACGTGTCGACACAAGTCTGACACTATGGAAGGCGGACACTCGTGAAAAAGCACAAGCACCAGCTCTGTGATTTGCCGTTGGTTGCGCCTGCTTCACAAAAACAAGGGTAAGCAAACTGTCGTCCAGTGACTTCGAACGTGATTTCTGCGATTTTGGCTTCATGCAAGGCTAAGACTTCTCAAACCAAGCGAACTCTGTTGGCTCGTCGCGATAATGTGCACAGAAGTGGGGCTGGTTTATATTTCTGAGTCACAAAAACTCTAAAACGAAAGCAGAATATTTCATACATGTCAGGTTCTATTGTGTAGAGTGTTGATAGTGAATATCACAAAACCAAAAAAATGTCCCTTTTGTCGCACCTAAATATCATGCTGGTGCTTATTTAAGCACGCAATCTGCCTTCGAGTCGTGAAAAAACTGCGGGCAGAAGTGCATGAACGTTTAAGGCATCTACTTTGAAGACTTTTCAAGCACTGTAGCAATATATCTACTAAAGTATTTTTGCAAACATTTTCTCAATACTTTTTACACAAACCCAGTATACAGAGAGTTGAGCCAGTTAGTCACATTGAAAACTGAAATTTCAGTTTCAAAAGGTATGCAAGGTGTATTTAAGTTAAACCCAGTTTTTAGATATAAATAGCACAAATTGAGGCTCAAAATTTTAAATTAACAACTTTTCGCAGATATAAGTGCAATGAAAAATGTCGCTCATTTTCTATCCCTATTCCTTCCATGACTTCTCTTCAAAAAGCGCTGCCAATAAGAAAATCAACACAGACACAGAAAAGGCTCTCCTAGTTCACAATGGACATCATGGATCTCACCATTGAAGCCAAGCATGACGGACTCCACAATCGGATGGCAGTACTGTTGATAGACCTGAAGGTTGGTGCTACTGTAGTCAAAAACATGGTCTGTTGATAGACAGGTGGAAAAAAACGAAAATAACTCAAGCTGTGTTGAAATTTGTTCTCCAAGTCTGAACACTAACGCACACACACCAAATTTTCTAAATGCTCATTTCAATTTTATGCAGACAGACTTAGAGATATCAGAAGAACAAAAGCTAGCCTTCTTTCCCGGAAAAAGCTCCACTACGAATCAAAATGAATTTTGTTAATCTGCAGAATACTTCAATAAACTTTTGAACGAGGTAAGCTAGCATACAAATATCAGGTGAGACTGGATTGTAGGCAAATGCCTCTTTTGTTCTGCGCCTTCTTATGATGACATCTTGATTTATGAGCATAAACTAGAGGTTAAGAAGGGCTTTTTTAGTGTTTTATAGTGTCTATAAATGCCTATTTTTGGTGTTCGTGCTTAAATACATATGAAGGCCTAAAAATTCTAATTTTCCAAGTGAGCGCCTGTAGGAGATCTATTTAGGTACAAATTTTCTTTTCAAACATGGTTTGAAACTGCTATTTATGTAAATAAGACAACAAGGATATTTCCAAACAATGTGAGGTTCAGCAAGATTCTCTAGTTGCAACAACTTCCGCAAAACAACCGCTAACCGCAGTGAAATGGCACTCGCTGTCCACTATACGCCATAAAGCTGACATGCTTCGATCGCTTGCAGAAAAGGCATGAGGAGTGCAAAAGACGCTATTTCTGCAGCCCTGATTGGATGCATGTCTTAGCGTCTGCAGTGGAATGAGGAGAGAGAATTAAAGATGAGATAAGAAAACAAAATTGGTGTCTATGGCTTAAGACGTAGTGACCACCTTCTAAAACAGCTGTCCAGTGTTCTGAAGGAACTGAACGCCCCCTGAAAACCTGGGTGTTCTTCCGGTGGGAAAAGAACAGCAGATTTTTCTGTGAAGTCGTGGTTAGGTGGCAACGAATCAAAAACCATGGAAGGCCACTCATGTTATGGTCTTGTTGATTACGGGGCGGCAAAGGCCGCCAAAGTTTTATACTTTATACGGCAAAGGCTGCGACAATCACCGCCATGTTTACAATTACCGGTGCACATATTCACCTATGCCTGAATACGCTTGTGCCGTATGAAATCCCTTGGCATATGTCTTCAAGGGACAAACGTGTAAAACTACAGAACATGTCTGCGAAGTTTGTCTTAAGCAATTACTAAAAAATGACTGCTGTACCAATACGAAATATGAACTAGAATGGAACCTACTACATCGCGTCGAATTAAACTGCGGTTACACCTCCTATGTCAAGCATTTTTAGGTAAAACATCAATTCAAAAATGAATATATCTAAACAGTCCTTTTCACGCAATGTAATTAAAATTTCAGGGTGTCATATCAGATATATTATTTATATTAATTCTTTTTTTGTAAGTGTCACATCTGAATAAAATCGCTTATAAAAAAACAAGTGTGCTGTATCAATGAAGGTGTGTTTTCTTTGACATTGCAACCCATCTGCTGCAGCACCATCGGGTAAAAAGTGTTAAGTGCACGCCGCTGTTGTTTATGATTTGCTTTATTACTCATACCTCTTAAGGTGGTATATAAAGTTGTAGTTAGACACTCTATGTTCATGCATGCCCAATGAAACGTGCTCTAAAACGGTGATTTTTCCAATTGGTTCATTAGGAGCCAAAAAAATTGATGCTGCACGTCACTCCCTCAATCTGGGGCGCACGCCCGCGAGAAGGGCAAGTGCCATTCAGTAGACATTTACCACTTTTTCTATGACATGTAGCGTTGGAAATTTTAACATACACGATCGCGACTGCCAAGTGCATTTATCACGCTTGCCAGCTCGAAATGCACAAGTCTAGTGAGGGGCTCTCTGAGGTGTTCACCGACAGGGGAAATATTGATCCCAAGCGATTAGACCGGGCATCTCTCCCTTCTCGTGTATCAGTGTTCAGGCTATTTTCTTCTGGACTGCCCGCCCCAGCCATGATGAATCAAAAGAGACCCCGGAGAGTGTTGATTAGACGGTGGACACTTGAATCGCAATACTAAGCAATTAGACGAAATTTGCGAATCTCGGGAAATGCATGCCTCGTTCAACCGTTGGTGTGCTTGTGCTATCATAATTATAATCGTTTTTTTTTCTTTTTATCATACATACAAGTCACCAACGTCTTTGTTTCAAAGTATCACAATTTTCGTATTATGTTTAGTGCAGATATCGAAGATTTCAAAGGTCTAAAACAGTGTTTTACCTACCTGTCTTTGGCACGTACACACACATTTTAGTGCCTAAAACCTGGCATCTAATTATTACCCTCTGATAGAAGCAGGGCAGCATCTGTACTGGCGAAGACAAGTATTTTTGCCCGCACACTGGCCCCAGCAACGATCCCGGCGCAACGTCTATCATGTTAAGCTTCCAACTTGTTCTCACTCAAAACAATAATATGTACAGAAACAAATGCAGCTTAGCAGAACTTGTGAACAAAACGCAGCTAGACAAGTAAAACATGCAAGCCTGCACAAGCTTCTGTACTAGTGCTGTAACAAAAAAAGAAAAACTTAAAGCAAACCAACCGAGTATGGGATATCTGGTGATGTTTCTAGACTCCATGTTTATTCTGTATTCCTGTGTCTTCCAGATGGGCTTTTCGCCATTTTTTGTATCCCTGGAAGAAAAAAGGCTCATTGGTAAAACAAGCAAGTGTGTTATACAGTATCAGACCTAAGAATAATGATCTTGCAGTTTTATTCATTGTATTCACATCTTGTCTGATCGCACACAGCCGTCCAGGCCTGGGAGATTTGAACAAATTTACTAGGCACGCCTCTTGTTTTCTCGAGGCATTTATCATTTGAATCATGTAGGATTGGCTTTTTAATTTTTCTCTGCTATTAGGAAAGAAACAAAGCAATATTGTAATTTGTTTTCCCTGTACAGTCGAAGGTTAAAAACTATACCACGCTGTCTTTTTCTTTTATGTTGCATTACTTTCAGCACAGCGACTATTTTGCAAGAGCACGTCCATGCGAAATTCCAAGATCTATATTTAGCATGTTGAACTTTTGGCTCTGTTGCATCTCATTTTTACTCCTTTATTCATGAGCCAGACATGATACTAAATATGCGGACTGTTAGAAAAGTATCCAATCTTTGGTGGAATAAAAAAAAAACTGGCGTAATTGGAGTGGTGGAAACTTAGTTAATGTCAAAGTAGTTTCCTTGGGACACCACAATCTTCTCCCAGTGGTTCTTCCATTGTTGGAAGCATTCTGAGAAGGCTTCTTTAGGATTCGAGTATAGATCAACATTCGTTGCAGCCATAATGTCCTCCCTTGCCTGAAATCGCTTTCCTTCAATGTCCTCTTGAGCTTGAGAAACAGCCTGAAGTCACAGGGGGCAATATCAGGAGAGTGAAGAGCTTGTTGATCTACAGGATTGACAATTCACCTCAATAGTGTGAACTAAATGTGTGAAATGTGCAGGAGCATTGTTGTGATGGATGCACCAGTTTTTTTTTGTACCACAAGTCAGGTACTCGCACCGCCAAGCATCACGTAGGCAATGAAGGACATCCCTGTAGTAAGTACTCTTTGGTGATTGTTTGGCCCTGTGGTGCGCACTCGTGATGTACCACATCATGGTAGACAAAAAAAACACTCAGCATCACTTTGACATTGCCGTAAACTTGGCGGGCTTTGGTCTTGGTGACGTCGAACCCGTACCCGTACACCCAAGACTCGTCACCAGTGATAATGGTGTCCATGAAATTAAAGCCACTGCTTGTGAAATCCAGCATGCCCTGTGAAACAAACACGAAGTTGCTTTTGCTACATCATGAGCAGTTTCCGCACAAATTTCGCCCGACCCTTCTGCACTTTGCCGAATAGTCACACGACGTTCCCGCATCACCACAGTGTTTACTTCGGCAATGACCTGGTCATATTGGCATGTTGATGGTCGATCAGAGCATGGCTCGCTTTCCGCTAACGTGCATCACCTTTAAACCAGTCTTACCACCCATTCATCTGTGTGCGGCTCATTGCGTCGTCACCAAACCCATCATGATCGTTCCAATAATTTCCACTTGGCTATCGCCTAGTCACTCCGTCATTTTCCTTGCAATGAAAAACCAATGAGGGCACTGCGCACTACCTCCCTCAAACGCTCCATCTCAGTGACTGCCGCTATTGGCAGACGGGAAAGCATTCCCGCATGAGCAAAAAGGTTCAAGGTCTGCTGATGCAAGCTTCAAGTCTGTCGGGTGCCCACAAAAAAAAATAAGGTCGGATACTTTTCTAACAGACCTCGTACGAAAAACAGTGTGCGTTTCATGTCTTTTATAAACACAACGAGCTCGGCCAGATGGTGTATATGCACCACGCCTGAAGCACCCCTTCGGTAGAAACTAGTTCATCGGGACAATGTCAAGGGGTATGTTTGTACTGCAACTGCATCCCTTCTCTCGTTGCATGTGGTGCACGTGCTGTATCGCAACACGTGCACCAGATGTATGAAGATAGCCGCACAAATGCGCTACTGTGGGAGAAGCACGTGCCACTGAACGTGCTTCTGCGCAAATATGAGCACAATGCTGATAACGAAGGGATCTTGAACGGCAAGGTCAATCAAACAACTGATACAGCAAACTGAAGACTCAAATTTTGGCACAAAGTGTGAGTGACGTAGAGAGGAAGCTTTTGGCTGAGAGTCTCAATACAAACTAACTTTATTGTTCATTCAACTCGATAGACCAGGGCGACCGGTCCCCCTTCCTCTCTCTCTGCACGCCTTTCTTGGCGGTGCAGAAGAGGGGAAAGGAAACCGGTCTGAAACATGCTGGCAGTGCCAACAGCTGCGCTTTAGAGTTCACCATACATTGTCTCGGATAACTGGTAGAAACGATTTAGTTTATTGAGAGACGTATGTACTGTTATTCTGGCTCATGCCTTACATTAGCGCAGCAAGCTTTCTTGTTTTACAAGAGCACTAATCTGTATACAATTATTACTGAACGCCCTTCCTATGGCCTAGGATAAACTACACATTGAGCAATAACACAACTTTAATCATCAGTTGGCGAACTGACCCGAATGCCCTTCTGTAATAGAGTTGCCTCATGGACTTGTACAGGTACAATTCACAAAACGCACTCATAACATCAGGCATCTTTTACCATTCAAAAATTACCTATCACAAGTATTCTTTAGGAGCAATATTGTAATGCGCACATAAACACAACGGCTTTTGTTGTCATCTGGAGGTTCAACACACCTTCCTGAATGTATCTAACCAATGTACCTCTATGTGCAAATTCTATAAAGGGTACCCGAAATAGTACAGCAGTTTCACTGCAGCTAGAGTGAATCATTTGTTGTAAAATTTAGGTGTAGCACCTCCAATAGTGACGATCATTCAGCCATTTTTCAAGCCATGCTTTTTTTATTCAACTTCGTCGCTGGGTGCCACAATTCGCACATGTGGAATAGCTCCACAGTTCGCAATAGTGCGGCAGCACAAGGTATATAACACAGGCCACACTCCACATTTGTCCGGTTGATCTCAGTCTCGACCTCCCCCCCCCCCCCCCCTTAGCCGAGAAGCCAGGTATATCAGTTGCATGAGTGGCGTGAAAAAACCAAGCTACTTACGCAATGCTTGGGCGGCTCCCTGATTTCGTGTACGTGTTCTCTAGCGGTAAACTATGCAATCAATGGAATACATGTTAGCACTCCACAAGCAACCACAACATGAAGTGGTCGTTCAGAATCGAAGTTGGGCGTTTGTGACCTTATGCAAGCCACAACGCACACGCTAATGTTCCTGAATCTTGTGCTTTCCGAGTGGTTTCTTGAGAGCAGCGGAGTCTAGCTTCCAAATCACAAGGCTGAATTTCGAATTACGGCCATTCTCTGGCTCAGACGTCAGCAACAGTTACGAAAAAGGGAGTGCACGCCAAGAGACTTCAATTTCTAAGCATTTACTATCATAAGGCAGGGTTGTAAGATATATTTTTCAGGGGGAGGGCACTTTCTTCATCTAAAGTGGGGACCAGGCAGGCAAATGCTCATTTTGCGCTACGTATGAATGACGAAAAAAAATTTCGGCGCACGGGCCTTGAGTTCCTCCCGCTGGCTACTACCCCGTGACCTAATCGGAACGTGACTGCAAAACTTCAAGCACAGCGATTAATTTCCTATGCCTCCGTTACTGCGCCTCCATCACAGTCGTATAGCTACCAACTCTTTACCCGCAGATGTGGCTATTGGGCCGACATGGCTCGGTTCGCTTGACACCCGGTGCCGCGGTTGACAGTTATGCTGTGAAGTCGACGCAGTTCCAGCGTTCAATACTTACGTAGCACGTCATGCATTTTTCAAGTAGCACAATCGGAGATATAGACGCAACGACAGCTCGTACAGCAAGCAGTAAACAATTGGTGGAAACCAGATAACGAGAGCGCGGCTGCATGTTTAGCTTTGCACCAACTCACCTCTCAACAAGCGGCCTGACCCTCTCTGCCACCTTGATGTCCGGTGGAGTATTGGCATTCCAGTTCCCGGCGGTGGAGTCGATAAAAGACCTCGCAGTTAGGAGAACAGGATTTCCAGGGTAGGACATCCGAAGGAAAATCAGCAGCGCCGTTCGGATGTGTAGAGCCTCTGATCGTTTGAAAGAAGAGGAGCAGTCAATGACGTCACAGCAGCTCCGAAGAAAGAAACACGTTTTACGTTTACTCCTCTGCCTAATGAATACACAGTCATAATAGTTTTAAAATATTTGCAGTTTGCCCAAAAATAAACTTTTTTTTATTTCTTCATTGCGAATACTTCAAGTGCTAACATTTTTTTTTATTATTTATGCAATGTGGATTTGAAATCTAAAATACAAGCCCCAGCCGCATCTTCAAATGTACACAGCATCGAAATAAAATGTTAGGCGTTGTTTATGCAAGAAAAGCGTTTAATCAAAAAGAACTGTTCTACACTGAAAATGAGTCGTGGAACGCGGGCATTTTGAGAACGCATAAAACACTGATAGCCGCGAAGAGGAAGAAAAGCACAATTCATGCACTGTGATGCCGCCCTGCTGCCGAGGTGAAAGTGAATAGCACAAATTTTTATGTTTATATGAGAAAAGGTGCTGCATGACGTGCCCTTGGTGTGTGCGACGTTCAGTGGGAGCGCTGGAAGCAACGTTACGCTGGAAGGTCCTCTCAGGTTACTCCCAACAGTGGCGTTGGCAGAGGCTTGGGCGTGCACTTCGTATGTGCGTATATATGTGCCTTCGGGAAAAAACATGCAAGAACAACATGGTTAAAACAAAAACATTTAACGTCAAAAGAAAAACACACATGCCAGGCCTGTGCGGAAGGAGCAGAACCGTCACAGTAAAAGCTAGAACAGCGGCCTTTCAGAGACCTTTTAGGACAGTCATTGGGTAACTGCTGCAAGCACACTTGCTGGGTACCTACTACGGCATTAGTACTAATAATTTTTAGGTTGTATGCCGGCAATCTCTGTGCTATTCTTTGTCATTCTTCGGAAAAGTGGGTATACGCTAAGCACTAGTAAGGCATTTTGTGCCAAGCCAGCGGCTGATGACGATCAGGAATTATGCCTGAAGTGTGTCTGTGCCACAGTTAATAGGTGATCAAAAACAATCTTTTGTAGTGGGTTGGAGCATTGGACGACCCATTCGTTACGGTATTCGCCTTGCGTGACGCCTGGTTGTTCTTCTGCTGTTCTAAAACGCTTAACTAATCATAATGAAGCGAATCCTTTCCCGACCTCAAGCCTGCCTAAGGCAAGTTATCGAACAAGACCCACGTACCGGCGTGGCTCAGTGGTAGAATATTGGGCTGGTGCTCAGCGGACCCGGGTTCAAGCCTCACTGTGTCCTTGGAACTAGGTTTCTCTTTCCTGCGATAGTGGCTACCAACCACAGCGGCGGCAGCGGACAACTATGGCGCCACGCGTGATCCGAGTTGTGATCTCATTCTTGCTTTCGCTGTAAAAAAGCTTTGCCGGAGGGGCAAATGACCCCTTTCATTCCCGGCGACCATGAAAGATCCTAAAGGACACCAGATTCGCAGTGCTTGCATAAATGAAGGTGAAGTCACAACATGTTACTCACAACGACTCCTCTGTTATCACCAGTCTTGATATGAAGCATTGGTCGATATTTGAGCCGCAATAATTGATGTTGTAAAAACCTGCACTTGAATCAATAGGAAACACAATCGACCTGGCCCGTAGCCCAAAAAAAAGCCCTTGCCCTCTCCTCCCCTGCGAAATTCAGAACTAGGGGGATTTATCGACGACAAATAATAACAATGGGTGTATCTGAAGCAAGCCCGTAGCCAAGAGGAGGGGGGGGGTTTAATTGGTAAACAGCGCGAAAAACAACAGGACGCACTGAAACTAGGGAACCCACACAACGCTGTGTGCGTTCTCTTTTTTATTGGTGTTGGTAGTGAAACTTTTTTACCCAAAAACAGGTCCTGAAGGACACACGGCTAGACGCCAGGTGTAGAGGGCATCTCTCACGTCGGGACAGAAGGCCCGAAGTTCTCTGCCGCCTCGCAGGCCTCCTGGACAGCCGCATATCGTTTGCTAGTGAAGCACTCCTTAGCACCTTGGCCAACCGTTCCTTGTTCCTGGCGTAAGTGACACCAGATACACAACCACAAAGCATCTGGTTCAAATCTACACTTTAGCAAAACTGTTCACCTAAAAGTTGTCCATCGTATTGTCTAGATTGATATGCTTCATGCGCCCTTTTTATGCGCCCTGTAGCTTTTCGCGCTGTTTTCTAAGCGTGTCCAAACAACAAGCACAGCCATCCACACTTTTGGCTAAGGTAAATGGCCTACAAGCAACTCCACCTCGAAAAAATTGGAGAGGGGGTGCTATTTTACATAGAGTAAATAATAAAAATAGGCGTTGTCAAGGCCTTCCACAAGTAGCACCCCCCCCCCCCACCTAAAAAAAATTTCTGACTATGGGCATGGCGTCGGCTTAGCACCCCCCTTTCATCTTTATTTTTATTGGCGGTGGGGGCGGGGGGTGAAGGAGAAAATTTTACCATGTTTGAACGTGTTCTGTATACATACAAATACTGAATTAGAAATTTTCAGGGGAGGGGGTGGCATCTGCTCCTTTGCAGATAAGGGTAATCGTCTCATTCAACGTGGATTGAACTTAGGTATTGAAGAGACACTAAAGAGGATGAGCAACTTGGTTTAGATTGAGAAACTGTATTGTGAGAACTCTAATGCCAAATGTCCCACTCTCATAAGGTCACTATTACCAGAGAAAATCATGGCACTTTCATCATAAAATTCAAAATGAAATTCAATTCCAATTTATTATTTGATAGTTTTGTATGATCAGTTATTTTGTATAATTTTGTATGATTTTTGTTATATATCTAATATATATACTTATGGTATATTTTTTTGTTTTATTGTATCGCTCGCTCAACATCATTGCTTAATCAAAAGCACATACTGTTTTGCTTCTGGGTATTTAATTCCGTTTTTGTCCCTTCCCTGTTGTAAAGGTCTGCGAACCTTGAGCACCTGATAAATCAATAAATTAGCATTATTGGAAGCCATGTCGCTGCTAAAAATAATTGCAAACAGCGGCATCGAAGACATGCCTGATGGCATCTTACGTTTCTAGAGGCTGAATGCATTGCGGTGGAGCTTGTCAATGCCATGTTCAAATCGCTTCAAAAGAGAAGCCCATCGGCGACTATGATTTTCGTTACAGTTCTTTCATTGCGCAAACGCACAACTTCATCACTTAATTTCGGATTCATCTCTAAATTCATCATCATCATTCATCACTAAATTCGGATTCATCAAGTTCATCACTAAATTCGGATTTTTTTGTTAAATACGCCTTCTCGGGCACATGTGCGTTTATATCTATAACCCGCACTGCACAATATAAATCCTTAAGCAAGCCCAGAAGACCACCGTTATTTGCACAGATCGAGCTCATTGATGTCCTCGTAGATGTGCTCCTTTTCAGGTGCGGGTATAGTAGAGTCGACCACTTCTTTTGGTTTGGCAGAGTCGGCCCCTTCCTTGGGTTTGGCACCGTGCGCCGCTGCGGAGACGTCGCGTTTCTTGCCGCTCCATTATGTAGTCATCTCGACGTCGTCCAGCTCAGGGACGGACGCGTAGGAGATTGCAGCCGACGCGTTTTAACGTGACAGCGTTAAAGAGCTCGTGTTGCAGAAAACCCGCGGCCGGCGTCAGCCCCTTTGGTTGTGAGCGAAAAATCGTCTGTGCGTCTGCGACTGAAAAATCAAGTTACCGAGACAGGCTCGGGAGACCGCTAATTGTCCACGTGAGCGCGCGCGATCACCCTGGAAAAGCTGCGCATTCGGAGAAAAAGAAATGCTCAAGGTCACGAGGCACGGTAGTTTCTTTGCCCTGCCCCCCCCCCCCCTCCCTGCTTAGCTTCCAGTACTTTTGTCGTTACGAAAGAAGACGTAATGCAATTCCGGCATGCGACAAACCTTTGTAACTCTACTCGCACAAAGCGAATTCTTAAAATTTTTGCGGCATTGAATTCGTGTGGCAATAAGCTCTTCTAGTGAATTCATTCCATGGTTACTAGAAAAAAGTGTTTCAGGGCCCCTTTAACGCATTTTGCCCAAATGTCTCTCGACGAAAACTTGCCCATTCAGCGATAATAGCGCGCGCTGGTCCAATGTACTGTGTGCTTGCATTTGTATGTACCAAAACATGAATAATTATGCACTAAGCGGTTGAAGGGTGATCTAGGGCCGGATTTCGCTATCGCATCCAACTCTTAAAGGCGAAACCTAAGGGTAACCCAAATTTTGTGTCATGCAGGTGAAGGTAAGACTTTCGGTAGCTGGGCACTTCGACGTCGTCGTACACACTCTCGTTCACGTGCTCAACGGGTTGGCCAGTATTTGAAACGGAAGCGGGGGCCCCGACGTCCCTGGCGGCAGCTGCTCGCAGAAGGACTAGCGTTTGGGAGGCCTCCTGCACGGCTGCACGAATGTTGCACAACGCTATAGAGTCACTGTATAGGCTTATAACGTGCACAAAGTTTTAGAATAAGAATAAGAATGCTTAGAGTAAGAGCGAGCAGAATAAAACACATGGGCATTTGCGTTGCCTCGACATCATTCTTGTATTATCACACACAGTTTTTTATAATGAACAATATATAAGGCCTAGATTACACTTCCAACTCTAACAAGAAGAAAAGAGAGAGCATTTGACGAGCATTTGTGTCTCACAAATATAATTGTCATTTATCGCACGTGCTTCCCTTATATCGGCTATGATGATCCAGTGATTATGATTCTCGACTGCTGACTCAAAGGTCGCGGAATAGAATCCTCGAGATGGTGGCCGCATTCGATGGAGGCGAAGTGCTGAGCGCCCATGTTCCTATAGCTTTGTGTGTCCTTCGAAGGACACCACATGGTTGAAATTCACAGAGCCCTCAACTACGGCACCCCTCAGAATCGCATGGTGCATTTTGGACGTTAAACGCAACAATTATTATCGACAGTACTGCATGGTAGAAATATAGGAGAAATTTGGGATAATTGTAGGTTCATGCTTGGAATGTAAAAACAGCGCGAATTAGAGACGACGACTAAAGAAGACACGACACAGGCGCTGAACTGGCCACAAATAAATTATCGGAAGGCACAAGCACATATATCAAGCTGCCAACCTGTAGATACGTGGCATGGCGTCTGCGCAGCAGAGCAAACATGGCACAAACATTACCTTATAGTGACGAATTGCAGCACGTGTTTTACACCCGAGAAAAAAGAACAAACCTGAACCCAAGTACCGAACTTTTAGCTTCTTTAGCTTCTTTTTGCGAAGGGCTACAGATGCTTTACTCGTGCACCTTTATCCCACCTTTTCAATGTAAAATGGTTTCTATCACCCCCCCCCCCAACTGCAATTGTCCCTATGGCCAAACAAACAAGAGGCTTCCTCTGATATCGGCTGGCCCTGCTTCTCGTAGCACCATCAAAGGAGGCACCGATGAAGCGCCTAGATAATTGATAACGGCCTGAACATTATCTGGACGCACTGGTATTGCGTTTTTCACTACGTAGCGGGGAGAGTGTCAGCACCTGTATATTCTTTCACCGTGCAAAATATTTCTTGCTCTTCGGGCTGTAACGCAGACGGATGCCAAATTTTTCACTCCATTGGGCATATGCTTCGGTGCTGAAAATTAGCGAGATACTCGTATTTATGGGCTTAATGAACACCGAAAAATACTGTTCCTGCAGAGACTCAAGCGCATTTCAAAGCTGGGGACTGAAACTGGTTTTACGGCAGAAACTAAGTTCGTTTTATGACAGAAACAATATCGAAAAATAATGAATATGTCTTGCGGCTGCGCTGTGATGTGCACGATAAATAACTTGCTAGAAAATGCGGGCCAATCGCGCTCCCTGCACAATTGCCTACCCAGTGACTCTACCACGTATAGCCCGTTCCTACAGCAGTAATTTACGCATTTGGACTGGATGGTTCCTAATAAGGAACACGAAAAACAGCGCAATGAACCTGCGTGACTCCATGTTCACCCTAATGAAACGAACAGAAAGTTATACAATATAATAAGGGTACACAAACATTACCTGCATGTTTTAACTGTATAATAAATAGGTTATGACGTAAATGGAAATGAACAAATTAGTTAGAGAAACCCATGGTAAGTTGATTGCTCATGTTGAAACTATAGCGACAACTGACTGCTCTTGCACTGTAAAATGAATAAATTTAGATGAATAAACCCATGGTAAGTTGATTGCTCATGTTGAAACTATAGCGGCAACTGACTGCTTCTGCACTGTATATATACGAGTTAGTATAAAGAAGAGAGGTATACTGTATTCGCTTTACCGTGTTTTCGTAACTCATCTTAAATACTCTTTTAGTGCTGTTTTTATTTTTCTACCCGCTTCTAGCGATTCGTCGCGCGATGCCCGTACATTCTAGCGCCTGCCCGCTTATTCAAACAATTGATTGATGATTGATTGATATGTGGGGTTTAACGTCCCAAAACCACCATATGATTAAGAGAGACGCCGTAGTGGAGGGCTCAAGAAGTTTCGACCACCTGGGGTTCTTTAACGTGCACCCAAATCTGAGCACACGGGCCTACAACACCGCTTATTCAAACAGTGACTAATTCTAACTATATACTCTATAGTACTCTTCGAGTACGAATTGATGAGCCTTCACTCTATTGCAATCTTTCAGTTCTCAATCGTCAGTTTTGTTAAGAAAAAGAAGTCCTTCTATTTGTTTTGTTTTTTCGCAAAATGCTATCGGGATAGGGCAACAGTTCCTGATTTTTTTTTTCTTCTCATATTCAGATTGACGCGCATCTTGGCTTCAACTAACCAACAGTCGCGTTATCTTGCCTTACCTAACAGTGGCCTAGCAAAAAAGTTTTTCGGGAATGAGGAGGTTTCAACAATTTTTCATCTTTCCTGTAGTATTTATTTCAAACGTATACAATGGCAAATTACGAAACGTATATGTGCAATTGTTCTGCATGAGAGGCTGACAAAAAGGCACGAATTTCTGACAGAGCATCACACGCCTTTCTGTACACACATCACTCAAACAACAGAGGCGATTAATGTATGCATGATAACAACGACTGTACTAACGTCGAAATACATTACAAATATTTATGTAAGTTCGTGTATGCGCTAGTATTTGTGCTTGTATATATTCGCGTGAAAATCTGAGAAGTCTACGGGTGGGGGGTTGAACCCATCTCTCCGTGGATATGTCAGTGTTACTCAGTATCTCTACATTCTAATAGTAATACGTGAGGTTTTAGGTCCCAAAACCGCGATATGATTATGAGAGACGCCGTAGAGGAGGACCCCGAAAATGCAAACATCCGGTGTTCCTTGGCGTGCAATTACATTACACAGTACACGGGCTTGTATACCATTTCGCCTCCATCGAAAATGAGGCCGCCGCGGCCGACATCGAACCCACGACCTTTGGGTCAGCAGCCGAGCAACTTAGCTACTGATCTACCGAGGTGGACTATGTCTACATCATACGCATGTAGTGCTCATACCCAAACATAGTCCATAATTAGAGCTCCGTGTTTTCGGATAAATGCGAGAAATTCTGATAAACGCGCGCCAGTAACATTTTTGGCAATGCGAATTTATCCAATGAACTCAGATTTTCAAATAATATTTTCAACGTTCAAAGGGCATTTTCAAAGTTTAGGATCACCAATCGAAAAGAGCACACGTCCATCGATGGCAGTGACTTCGTAAATCATGCTTACGTCTATAGCGAAAAGCTTTAGGTTTATAATGTGAATAAACGTAGCTGTTTTGTTTGAAGTATTCCTGCTTGTGTGTATACATGTTCGTGCAGTAAAACCTTTCAGAGATGTGAAAGATACTTACTGGGTTCGCGTAATATCGTGGTTTAGATATCATTTCATCTAATATTTGTGATTACTGAGAACAACAAATGATTGGCCCTTTATTTTTCAGCAAGACGATGAGGGAGGCTGGGAGAAGCCGAAGGGAAGCTTCGCTAGCTCCGGCCCCTCAGAAGGTCATTTCGACGATAATAAAGCGGTGCTCTTGAACAACCCTATTAGCGGGCTAAATGAGCATCAAGTGGAAAAAAATGAAAGAATCGAGAAGCGGAATTATCCGCAGCAATGCAAGGCAATTTCATTGGAAATCACTATTAATAAGGCAACATTTCACCAACTTATAATTCAAAAATAAACGTCCAAATTTAGAGCATGGGAGATTCACCTAAAATAAACTCCGATAAACACCGAATATTTTGTCAAAAATAAACCTTCTGAACTTCTAGAAAAATAAACTTTGGATATATGGAGCCCTAGTTATACTGCGGCACACCCTTTTTTTTTTTTTTTGCTGATGTATGGCTTCGCCCACAAGCGAGCCCTGCCGTGGTGGTCTGTGGCTTAGGCACTCGGCTGCTGACCCGCAGGGCGCGGGTTCGAATCCCGGCTGCGGCGGCTGCATTTCCGATGGAGGCGGAAATGTTGTAGGCCCGTGTGCTCAGATTTGGGTGCACGTTAAAGAACCCCAGGTGGTCAAAATTTCCGGAGCCCTCCACTACGGCGTCTCTCATAATCATATCGTGGTTTTGGAACGTTAAACCCCACAAATCAATCAATCAATCGCCCACAAGCGAAGACCGTGCTTCATTGTTTGGGGAGCTTCGCGAGTGATGGTAATCGTTCTGTGAAGTGAAGAGTGCGCGCAGGACGGGAAGAGTGACGTTTATTGAAGAGCTAACATGGGCACCAGCGATAACGCTAGAAAGTTCTATGACTGATGTAGTACGAAAGAGGACGCGTTCTGCCAATAAGCAGATGGACGACGAACTATCGCGGTTCAAGCTTTCATTGTGCTTAGCGTGTCACTTTTTTTTTTCTTCTGGGTACAAGTTTGCCCGAAATAAAATGTTTCGTCGTGAACACGCAGAACTGCTTCAACGACATTACCTTGTCAGAATAAAGTCTTATACTTAATTCATGTCCCCACTGATGTTCATTTCACGTCCTCTGGGACTAGGGCGGTCACTGCGCACATGAAGGAGGTATTCATACCATCATTACTATCGCAAATATATTATCATAAATAATGCGATAGCGCAGTGCCGCAGTAATCCGTAGAAATGAAATACCTCGAAGTTTTGCAGCAGGGTGCTACCTACGTCTCCGTGCAAATCAGTACTGCGGAATTATGCAAGGTGCTTGTAGGGTTACAAAAGTGTAACTCTGTGCTACAAGCAAATAGTTGTCAATTTTGTTTCCCTATCCACTTATCTAGTGAACGCTGCAGTGATAACGGGGGTGGGCAGAAGCCTTCTACCTTCTCCCCCCTAATAATAAAAGGGAGGTGCCAAGTCTGCCCCTGACGTTAATTCAGTCGGTTGACATATATGTGGGCAACATCTCAAAACCACTGTAAAATTACGAGATACTCCGTAGTGGAGGGCTCCGGAAATTTCAACCACCTGAGGTTCTTTAACGTGCATCCAAATCTGAGCACACGGGCCTTAAACATTTTCGCCTCCATCGAAAATGCAGCCGCCGCCGCCGGGATTCGATCCGGCGACTTGCGGGTCAGCAGCCGAGTACCTTCCACTAGACCACCTCGGCGGGGTGTTTACTCAGTCGGATGTGTCCCACCATTCGAGACAGGTTTCTCGACCATGGCGGTCGAGTACCTCCGATTTAAAAACTGCTTGCCTACCACCTTTATCCGCGGAACGCTGGGAACCTACAGCAGGCTGTTGGGAAAAAGCAAGACATTAGTTTTTTTTTTTTGCATTGATTGCGAAAGCTATTTTTTTTTTCTTTCGGACTAGACTAAGCGGTTTGTTGGCCGAGGGGGGGGGGGGCATTACGATAAAGCTTTCCCCCACCCCGATGAAGAGCCCTGCGCTCGTTCATCATAACATGCATACATACTTACACACCACGCGGTATCATCACGGGCATGGACGCCTACGGCGACCGGTAAGTTTCCTTTGTTCTCATGTTTTTAATCTTGACAACTCTTTAGGAAATCTTGTGAACAGTGAGTGCTCCTCGAATTGATTCGCAGGAGGCAGGGGAAATCGCAAACATACGAATGCAACGCTACGTGGTACACGTACCTGCCCTTTCGCCCGGTTAACGACGTCACGGTGCCTCCAGGTCGTGGTGAGGCATACAGTCATACATATGTGCAAGCCGGATCCTTTGTCCCTAGCAGTGCACGGGCGAACGCGTGCTCGCGCCGCGCTACAGGGCTCAGCGGAGCGTAGCTTCCATGTGTCCCTGGCGGGAGACTATCTGTGCACGCTAGGGCGCACGCCAGGGTCGTCTCCGCGGGAACGCATCCGTGTCATCTCGCCGCACTCGAATTGCGCACGTCAGCGCTATCAGGTTGCCCCACCGGCGAGGTATTGCGCGCACCTCTTTGTTTGGAGGCGCTGTGACACACTGCGGAAGGACTACGAATCGACACTCGAAGGTAGACTCGCGTCGTCGCACGTTTGCTGCTCCAGATTCCCCGCCAAAAGTGTTGGCCTTTTTTTTTTCTTGCTTTCTTTCGCGTATTCGTCATGTTTGAGTGTGGACCTTGATTTTTATGAGAGGACATCAAGTGTCTTGTGCTGTCGCCTGCTGTTCGGTTAAGTGACCACCAGTGTCGCCGACTTCGAAAGCAAGCTGCACAGATTCACCCATAATACCACGAGGAACAGGACCTCAAAGGTACGGCTATCGCTACCTTTAGCACTGCCGTGAGTTTCACTCGTGCAATTATCTTTGTTGAATGAAATATGTTTGCAGAGCATCATTTTCTCATGTTTCATCTTTCAGAAGCTCCCCGCCGGGAAGCACATGGAGGCACAGATCCGTAAAAGGCAGTTTTGTGAGTATGGACGCCTTAGAATGTGTACATTTCATATACGCCAGCTGCTACGCGTTGTGCTCCCGGTCACTCGGATCAAATATGATACATGCTTTTGAAAAAAGAATTTTGCATTGAAATTCGGACTGGATATGGTGCCGGGCATGTTTTCTATTCTTGCTAGAGAGCGTGCTTATAGATGATCATTCAGATACGTAGTTGAAGATATAAACAATTCACGTGATGTGTAAACGGGCAAGGGGAAACACTCAACGCCGCAGTGTTCATACGTTGGCTCGTGAATAAAAAGGTTGTCAGTTAACTTTCGATGACGGGTTTTAATGACACGCTAAAGTTTTGTAAATATGTCGCTGCTTTTTTTATCATGGTGGTTTAGATGGTGACTGTTTGCAGTTTGGACACGCGCAAAAGGTTATACGGAGAAGAGAGCTTAAACATAGAAATTTGTTCATGCTGCCTCTAATATACCAACCTGTGCACCAAAGTGAAAGGCAGGTACTCTATTTACTGTGCCACTTTGTAGCCACATCGATGTCACCTGATTACATTCAAGTGGCATGGACGTGACTATTTAAGCATTTATATTAATAATACATAAAATTGTAGCTGGGATATTACGTCCGAAAATCACGATATGATTACGAGAGACGCGGTAGTGAAGGGCTACGGAAATTTCGACCATCTGGTATTCTTTAAAGTGCACTGTCAACGCACGGTACACAGATCTTCACCGTTTCGCCTCCATCTAAATGCGACATCCGCGGCCAAAACTGCATTTATTTTTCCAGTGACGTATGTGAAAACACCAGCAATACTCAAAGAGAAGGCGCAACATAGGTAAACAAACATTGGACGAAACTGTAAAGACGAAGCGCATGGCACCGGGAAGGAAAACGCAAAAATTTCCCATGCATGACAAAAAAAGAAAAATCTCTTTTTAGCGTGAAAAGGTTCACCCCGTTAGAGCAACGTGATACGCCAGCTCATTCAGCATAATACTGCTCACTTTCATTATGTAAACAAACGGTACTCATACGCTATCGCGCCAGAGAAAGCACCTAACTGCAGAGCTAAACTTGACTAATCAAGAGAATTTATGCAATCAAAGAGAACTTATGTAAACTGCAATAGTCCTAGGAAAACAAACAGATGTAGTGCAGAAAGTTTAACTAGTTGATACTGCGTTAGAAAAATCACGACGGCTCCCAGCGAAGTAATGTTAACGGGACGAAAAGCAGAGTGAAAAAAGACACCATTTCTATAAATATAATATTATTCCGAAGAAAAAGGTGTCACCTCAGTAACGTTAACCTACAAGTAACCTGCAGGATTCGGTAACATCAACTTGCAGCGTCTCCTTCATTTGGAGCAAAAACTTTTTTTATGTGGGAGCAAAAAGCTATGCCAAACGTGGAGGACGGTCTTGTGATGAAATCAGTAGGGGTGAGGATGAGGAGAATACACCCAGTCGAACACCGCAGGCGAGGCTGACCCTAACGTCACCATTTAAAAACTAAATTTACAAGCCACTCGCAAACATAAAAGTGCTATTTCACTAATGATCTTATCTGCGAGAACAAGGCTGGGAAAACCTGAAATATAAAAAAATAAAGGGGGGGGGGGGGGCATGGAAATTATGCTGAACCGTGTGAAAGATCTTGGACAGACGAACCGTTGCAAAGACTCTATTTGGTGGCTTCGCACTAACTTGAGTCGATTTGAAGCGAGAGAGAGTGACGTGAAAATTGCTCGACAAGGTTCACCGACAGTTTTATAAGAAAGATGCATGCTGCAGAAATAAACAATCTACTATCAAAAACTCACGATATCTCTTGCGCAATCGTCTAAAAACGAGTCGAAAACACAAGCCATGAATTCATTCACTACTCAGTCAAGGTATAATCCTCCCACCTCCCAGAACTTTTCTGTGCCTAACGCGGTCATGCATTGCCTCCAGGATCAGAGGCGTTGCAGGCTTTGTGCGCCTCACTTTTTTTATGAATACGTGTGGTAATACCAAACCACCTTTCTTTACACGCCTAAATAAATTAGTTCGACTGCATTGTTTCCAACTTGAGGCTCACACGAACACCGCGAACACATGATGAAATTTCTGTATATTGGCCCGCGAACAATGCAACACTTGCATCACGTACTACAGTTTCGAGACAAAGAACATATTCCAAACCGTAGCTTTTCAGAAGATTGAAAGGGGATTTTCCTGCGACCTAGTCACCTTCAACTGAATTTCTTTTGCCTGTCCTTGCCATTAGTCACCATTATCTTTATAATGTTATAGTGGTACCCCTACGTATTTGACAGGTGACGTCCCCCACTTCATATTGGCGAAATATTCCGGTGTGGATGACCACTCTTTGTGCCAAAAACCCTATTACTTTCCCCAGTTCGCCCGACTACCAGTGGCATTGCTGAAACTCTTCACTACAGTGATAACCTCTGCCACACTTTCCTTGTCTGTGCAACAAACTGTGACATCGTCCGCCTATGCCAGAATTTTAACTTCTGATGCCTGCAGCCTAAAACCGTGAATGCTGCTGTTTTCACTTATTGCTAAAAATAACGTTTCTTTAAAGATGCTGAACAAAAGAGGACTAAGCGGGCATCCTTGACGGACGGAACGCCAAATGCTAATAGGGGCTCCTAATGTATTAATAACAACTAAACGTGTCAGGCAATTGTGATATGCCAAAGCCAGACCATCTATGATTACCGAACCACCATTCACATGGTATGGCAAGAAGCAGTGCACGAGAGACACAGTCAAATGCCATTTCGAGGTCGAACTGCAGAATCGCCACACGACTTTCCGTGGCGTCGCCACACCCGAGAACGCATCGCATTTTCTGTATATTGGTAACATTGGAACGTCCCATAATAACGCAAGTTTGGTGAGACCCCACTCATTCTTTGATAACACCCTGGAGTCACCACGCTAGTACTTTCATCAAGATGTTGTAGTCACAATTAGCTAATGATATAGGCCGATATGACGAAACTAGTTTTTACTTCTCTCTCTCTACATTGTGGTATCAAAATAGTACGAGCCTCACTAAAAGACCGAGGCAGACTATCTAGTTTATATGACTCGTTAAATACTTCTGTAAGCAGCCCGGATGATTCACTCCTAATTGTTTCATAAAACACAGCACTTAGGCCGTCAGGCCCCGGTGACTTACCAGGGTTGAGCCCATCTATGGCCTTTTCTACTTCCGTCTGTGATACAGGCTGTTCTAACACTGCTTTTGTGTCATCAGGCAACCGCGGCATTTAACTTAGGAAGGACTCTTTAAACATCTCCTCCTCAATTTGTCTAGCGATAGAGCCTCGTAGTGCTTAAAAAATAGCCCGTTCAATGCTATCATTGCCTGCAGTCTCTACATAATTGCATTCGATAGTTTTTATATGGTTCCACATTGCGTGACTTTTCTCGAGTCCTAGTGCCCGTTTCGTTGAATTTTCATCTAAGCTTATTTGCATTGTTCTGGCTCGTGCTAGGGCTCCTTGATAGCGCTCTTCATCACAGATCTCTAGCTTCTTTTTGATATTGCGCAAATCCTCGGCATACACACCAAACTTTTCACATTCTAGTGCTCTCAGTTTCTGCAGCAACAATTTAAGCTCTCTCTCTTTCTTTTTCGATTCGAAGGCAAGGCCGCTTGATCACTCAATCGCTATCATTTTGATCCGCTGTTTGAAAAAGCCCCATATTTCTCCTATCTTCTCCACATGAGCTTTCTCAATTACTTTGATTTCATTCATCACAGCTACGTTGAAAGACTCGTCGCTTACAAGATTGGAGTTAATTTTCCACTGATCCTACGAAAATTTATTGTAGTCTTTCTTCGCGCCTATCTGGCACACTACTAGGCCATGATCAAAAAAGGCAATCGGAACAACGTTATAGCAACTACATAGTGTAATTATGTCAATGGATATGTACAGTCGATCTAATCTGGCTTTGCTTGCACCTTGAGAGTGGGTAAACTTAACTGCCCGGTAACTTTCCAGGCATTCTGCAACATCTACAAGCTAAGTCTACAATCGCTTGCACCAGCACATCACTGATGATAATGATGATGATGATGATGATGATGATGATGATGATCCTTCTTACTCTGGTGCACACCCACAAAGGGGGATCGGCCAAGAACCGGGCGGCAGGATCTTAAGTAAAAGGCTTATGGTTTTTAAACACAAAGTAATTTTGGATTGAAAATAATTATAAAGAGTGCTTTTGTCTTTGGGCCTGCGAATGCTCGATCTATCTTTTTCTTTCTGTACACAAATTAAATCCCC